TGCCACTGCCATGGCAACCAGGTAACCTAAGGACTCCAGAAGCGAGCCCTTTCAGATTGAGAGGGGAAAGAATTGAAGCAAGCTGGAAATAAACAGAAAGAAATCTGTGAATGGAGAAATCACTGGAGTCTTGCACCTGCAGCTTGCTGTGTCATTGGCAGTGAGGAGAATCCATCCTGTTCTCTTCCCCACCCACCCTCTCAGCCACCGCCAAGAACTACAGATCAACTTGTCCTGCCTCCTGCCTCTAGAATGACCCCACTTGACCCCTCCGAGAGACCTGTGCTCTTCTGCTCAGCATCCCCAGGGGAGAAGAGCCCCTAGTGCTCTCAGCATCCCCCTGGTAACACAGAGGACAGTCCTGGGCCACAAGTCAGCAGATCTATAGTTCTGACCCCTTATCCACTTCACAAGGGTAGACTCACCCCTCTCAGGGGCTCAGCTGACCTTTTACCTAAGGCATGGCTTCTTCCTTCCTTATTTGCTAGTAGGAGAATAAAACAGAGCTGTAGTAGGAAAAAACTATGAAATTAAAGTCCTCATGGAAACGTGAGTTAGGATTATAATACTTACGCAAGAGGATTTACTTGTGCTGGGCACTGTATCCAGCACTTGTGTGTGGGCATGATATCACTCAATCCCCACAGACACCCTTGGAGGAGGCAAGACTTGCCTACAACAGAGAGATAAAAAAGCCTCAGAGAGGTTGAGAGATTTGCCCAAGTTTGCACAACTGATTAGTGTGAAGAGACACGCAAACCTCAGGAGTCCGTCACTGAAAACCACTCTCTTCATCCCTCCCCCTCACCATGCCCCTTGGAGGCCAGGAGATTAGAGAAGACCCAAGTTTTCTTGCCTTAGCCATTCCCTGGGCCCCAAAGCTCCAAGCAGATCATTGAGGAGTGTCTGGTGCCTTTTTCATTTAATGAGCCCCTTTGATCTGTGGGGTTTGCTGAGCTCTGCAGACAAGATGGTAATAATCCCCCTGCCCAAGGGCTGGAGCTTCAGGAGCTGGGCTGGAGGGGCTCATCCTCTGCCACCCCTGGGTGCCCCTCCGGTCGGCAGCCGCACCTTACTGCACACCTGTGATGTGCTGAGCTAAACGGGACACACCGGAGCAGCTCGAACCCCGGAAGACACGGAGAACCAGTGCCCAACTCTAGGTGGTGGTGCAAGGAGAAGAGACAGGCCTGCAGCTGGCAGGCACGAGAGCCTCAGTGGAGGGGCCAGGAGGGTGGTGGGCACAGGCATGGGTGTGGGAGGGACAGCAGGGACTGAGTTCACAGGAGGGATGAACAGAGGGGGGGTGGGGGGTGAGAAGCTTGGGGTCTGCTGTCAGAAAGACCAGGCTTTCCATTCGGGCCATGCCACCGGCTGGCTGAGTGGCTTTGAGCTGGTCACTGAACCTTCTTTCTTTCTTTCTTTCTTTTCTTTCTTTCCTTTCTTTCTTTCTTTCTTTCTTTCTTTCTTTCTTTCTTCTTCTTTCTTTCTTCTTTTTCTTCTTTCTTTTTTAAGAATTTATTTATTTGACAGAGAGAGAGACAGCACATGCGAGCATGGGAAGGGGCAGAGGGAGAAGCAGACTCCCTGTTGAGCAGGGGGCCCGATGTAGGGCTCGATCCCAGGACCCCAGGATCATGACCTGAGCTGAAGGCAGACGCTCAACCACTGACCACCCGGGGGCCTGAGCCTTTCTCTTCTTACACTCAGAGATGTTCACCACTTCAGTTTCCCTGCTCCGACACTTCAGCCTTTAACAGAGTTGACTGCAAAGCTCATCTTCATTAAGTCTAACCCACCCGCCTGGCTGCTGGCTCTTTTCCACTTCTGCTCTTGAAGAAGCATAGGTCTGACCAAAGATAGTAAGACGTCCACAGTGAGGCCTCCTAGAAGCATTAAACATAAAGAAGATTATACCCCTTCTCCCAAATGTACATAAAAATATACCAAATCATAAAATACAAAACTTATGTAAATGCCAAGGTTAAAATAACATCTTTCCAGATTTACTTTTTTTTTTTTTTTGCTAAAATCCTGGATTGCTTCCTTTATCAACGTTAGACTTTTCCAATGCTTTTGGTGTCCTTGCTTTCTAATCTTTGTAGCACCTGCAGTGAGTTCCTATTCTGCTTTTTGGGGTGTCTGGTTCCAGGGGAAACTGTGGGGGATGAGGAGTCCCCGGGGAGACAGCACATCTTAGGCCCGGGGACCAGGCCAGGTCACGCTCTCCCCTTCCCCAGGTAAGTATGGGGAGATCTGGGGCTCCTGTGAGTGCTGGTGGTCACACATCCAGAGCCACTCTGGAGAGCCTGGGTCTTATCAACTGTGCCCAGCCTACAGCTCTTGCTGCTCTGTCTCCTGGCTGCTGCTTGGAAGCAAGGGGTGCAGCCTTCTCTGTCACTTGGCAGCGTTGCCAGGGACCGGAAGTAATGTCTCTTACTTCATTGGCAATTTGACATGGCTGCTTAACAACCCGATTAATCAAACCCAGCTCATCCTGTTAGAATTAATGAGCCTAGGAAATGCTGCCATGAATAATGAGGGCTTGTGCCCCTCCCCCAGCACCTCTCCCTGCCTCAACCCCCTCCTATTTCTTTCTCTGAGCTACACAGCAACTACTCACTACGAAGGGCCCTTAGACCTGGAAGGGTGTGGCGAGTGCCCAGCAACGTGGGCATCTCCTGCCTCTTCTACTCTCCCAGGCACCACAGCTGCCCACCTGGAGCCATGTCCTTGGGGGGCAAAACTTCTTGTTCATCAAACAGATATGAATGCATTTTGCCGTCTACGTTGCAAGCAGGATCTGTTTCAGGCACTGTACTAGGTGCTAAGGATACAAAGATGGATAAGATACTGTAAAGGGTCATGGTGCAATAACCAAGAGACAAATGGGGGAAGTGCTGCAACAGTGGGTATGGAAGGGAGGGAGCTACAGTGAAGGGGACCTGTCAATACTGGAAGAGCAGAGCGGGGAACTGGGAAGGGTTATATGGGGATGAGGCACTCTCAGCATTTCTGCCACCAAGTTCCTTCATGGCACGTATATACATGGGGCGGGCACTGAGCAGGGTGCTGGGGTCTGGAGGCTCACAAATGGACATGGTTCCCATTCTCATGCAGTGGGCATCTCACCCCTGTTCCTCAAGACAGTGCAGGGAACCTCAGCAGACACTTGATTAATTTTTTCATTTATTCATTCAAACACAGATGTTGTAGAGGGCCTTCAGGGAGTAGGGCTAGGTACTGAGGGGGGACAGGGTCCAATGATCAGCAGCCCCTCATCCCTGCCTTTCAGGGATTTTCTGACCAGTAGACAGATCCTTATATGGATGCACTCAGTACTCTAACAGGAGTATGACCAAGGTGCTCAGCACAAGGTGCTCAGAGATCAAAGCACGGAGCTCAAACTGGAGAAGTCTGGGGTGACTCCCTGTAGGAGGTGGCACTGGAACTATGATGGAGATGAGAAGCAGTTTGACAGGCAGACCAGGTACCAAAGAGTATTCTAGACCTCATTCAGGCCAAGGTGTCGTCTTTGAGTGACAGGGGTTAAATTGGAAGGGAAAGAGGATTCTGTGCAGCTTTGGAGGAAACAGCTGGTTCTACGGTCTACGGTGAAGAGCATGATTAAATATGTGTTGTATATGTCAGGTGCTCCTGCGCTTGCTTACCCAAAATTGGAAGCAAGATGTGGTTTCCTGAATGGTGGAGTCTCCAGATTAGCAGAGTCCCGGTATAAGTGGCCAAATCGCAAACACACCAGCGTGGGGCTCAGGGACACCTTCTGGGTCCTTTGACAGGAGAGAGATGGAAGGGCCAGATCCACAAGAAATGAGTTGGGGGTGGGGAGCGAAGGCATAGGGAGTAAGGAGAATGGGAACCCTGGGGTGGTCAGAAGAGAGCACAGGTCGGGGAGGTGGGTTGGTGGGATTCAGCAAGCAGAAACCCTGGACTCTGAGCTGGGAGAGAGAAGACAACACAGAGGGAGAAGGAGGAGAAAGGGAGGGAGAGAAAGGAAAGGGGTTGTGGAGGCTCACAGAGGCACATGTCAGGCCTGGTGGGAAGCCGAAGCAGACCGGCCTCAGTCATGGTCACTGACATGTGGTCACAGAGTGTTCTGGAAGCTAAGCCCATTTCTGCAGTCCACTCACTCACAAGGAGCTTCAGATCCCACCATCTAGCTGGGCCAGGTCCTCTGCCTCCCTGCTTCCAGACCTGCCCTAGACTAGGCTTCATAGCCTCTCCCAGCCAGGCCCAAAGGACATGCCTGGAGGGATACGTGTCCCACCTCTTAGGTGCCCAGGATTCAGGCCTGCCCCTACCTGCCAAGCTCTTGTCACTCAGGGACCCGGGGCAGGAGGCTTCACAGAGGGATGTAGGACCCCATCCATGTGCTGGCCTGCAGGTGTGTACAAAGTCTCTAGAGCAGAGCTCCAAACTCAGGCAGAACGACCTCACAACATATTTAAAAGAACTGCCTTTGTTATTGATATTTCACTATTGGAACATTTTACATAAAAACTGCCACCTAGATTCCCACATGTACAGTGGGATGGAGCCAGTGGTGGCTGTGCCTTTAACTTGGGGTCTGGGCCTTAGATTGGCCCCAGGCCCTACTAGCTGCTTTGTGTCACTCGCATCGTCTGTCTGGCTCTGAGGGCATCTGAGGTTGAGACGCCTTCACAGAGAAGTCCGTCAGGCTGACAGAGGGCTTTGGATGGCAGAGGACTTCCATGAAAATCAACCCACTCATTTTCACTGGGACCCCAGGACTTGGGCAGGACCCAGTGGGAGCAGAGGCTCTGAAATGTTAGTTGAGTCCACTGAAGCTGCCTGGCTCCCCTGTCCCCTGTGGATTCTGGTGCTTCCCAACAAAGACAGTGACTGGTTTAAGTGGTGTGGTCTGTCCTACCTGGGTGGCCCAAACCATCACTCCAGTGGCCACCTATCCACGAGACTCCAGACCAGGAACTCACCACCCTCTGTCTCTCTTGCTGTAGGGGGAGCTGCTGAGCCCATGCCGCTGTGATGGCTCGGTCAAGTGCACGCACCAGCCTTGCCTCATCAAGTGGATCAGTGAGCGGGGCTGCTGGAGCTGCGAGCTGTGCTACTACAAGTACCACGTTATCGCCATAAGCACAAAAAACCCTCTGCAGGTATGACTGGCACAGGAGAATGGTTGCCCCTTAGAGTCTAGGGAAATCTGGAGAAAAGGAGCAAGATGGCTAGGGGGCACGATCGCAGTGGCAGGAGGGCAGAAAGGATGAGAGGACTCTTGTGTGTTCTCCTCAGCAAGAAGAGAAAGGGATGGGGGCAAAGACAGAGGAAAGATTTAGAAGAGAAAGATTTAGACAGAAGAAGATTTAGATTTAGAAATCTCTGTGGAAAATTAGATGGCAGACAGGATCAGTGAGCTAAGGGATGGATGGATGGATGGATGGATGGATGGATGGATGGATGGATGTGTGGATGGATGTGTGGATGGATGGATGGATGGATGGACGGACGGATGGATGGATGGATGGATGAACGGATGGATGGGTGGATGGATATGTGGATGGATGGATGGATGGACGGACGGACGGACGGATGGATGGATGGATGGATGGATGTGTGGATGGATGTGTGGATGGATGGACGGATGGATGGATGGACAGATGGATGGATGTGTGGATGGATGGATGGATGGATGGATGAATGGATGGGTGGACGGATGGATGGGTGGATGGATGTGTGGATGGATGGATGGATGGATGGATGGATGGACGGATGGATGGGTGGATGGATGTGTGGATGGATGGATGGATGTGTGGATGGATGGATGGGTGGATGGATGTGTGGATGGATGGACGGATGGATGGATGGACAGATGGATGGATGTGTGGATGGATGGATGGATGAATGAATGGATGGATGGACGGATGGATGGGTGGATGGATGTGTGGATGGATGGATGGATGGATGGATGGATGGATGGATGGACGGATGGATGGGTGGATGGATGTGTGGATGGATGGATGGCTGGATGGATGGATGGATGGATGGATGGACGGATGGATGGGTGGATGGATGTGTGGATGGATGGACGGATGGATGGATGTGTGGATGGATGGATGTGTGGATGGATGGATGGATGGATGGATTAATGGGTGGACGGATGGATGGGTGGATGGATGTGTGGATGGATGGACGGATGGATGGGTGGATGGATGTGTGGATGGATGGATGGATGGATGGATGGATGGATGTGTGGATGGATGGACAGATGGATGGATGTGTGGATGGATGGATGGATGGATGTGTGGATGGATGTGTGGGTGGATGTGTGGATGGATGTACAGATGGATGGATGTGTGGATGGATGGATGGATGGATGGACGGATGGATGGGTGGATGGATGTGTGGATGGACGGATGGATGGACGGATGGATGGGTGGATGGATGTGTGGATGGATGGATGGATGGATGGACGGATGGATGGGTGGATGGATGTGTGGATGGATGGATGGATGGACGGATGGATGTGTGGATGGATGGATGGATGGATGTGTGGATGGATGTGTGGATGGATGTGTGGATGGATGGACGGATGGATGGATGGATGGATGGATGGATGTGTGGATGGATGGATGGATGGATGGATGGATGGATGGATGTGTTGATGGTTGGATGGGTGAGTGTGTGGGTGGTTAGAGGGATGGATGGGTGGATGGAAGCAGAAAGGAAAGAAAGAAAGGAGGAAGAGGAGGAAGGAAGGAAAAGAAAAGAAAGAGGGACAGACCAAAGGGCAGATGAA